TAAGCGTGCGGACCCTACGGGTTCGAGAACAATGTAGACATGACCGAGACACGTCTCTGGTCAATAACCAATAGCGGGACCTGGATGCCCATATTGGCTCCTACATATTCTACGAAGATCTTTATCGGTCAGACCGCATAACAACATACGTTGTTCCCTTTGTCATCGGTATGTTACTTGCCCGAGATTCGATCGTCGGTATCCAATACCTAGTTCAATCTCGTTACTGGCAAGTCTCTTTACTCGTTCCGTAATACATCATCTCACAACTAACATATTAGTTGTAATGCTTGCAAGGCTTATGTGATGTATATTACCGAGAGGGCCCAGAGATACCTCTCCGACAATCGGAGTGACAAATCCTAATCTCGAAATACGCCAACCCAACATCGACCATTGGAGACACCTGTAGTACTCCTTTATAATCACCCATTTACGTTGTGACGTTTGGTAGTACCCAAAGTGTTCCTCCGGCAAACGGGAGTTGCATAATCTCATAGTCATAGGAACATGTATAAGTCATGAAGAAAGCAATAGCAACATACTAAACGATCAGGTGCTAAGCTAATGGAATGGGTCATGTCAATCAGATCATTCTACTAATGATGTGACCTCGTTAATCAAATAACAACTCATTGTTCATGGTTAGGAAACATAACCATCTTTGATTAACGAGCTAGTCAAGTAGAGGCATACTAGTGACACTCTGTTTGTCTATGTATTCACACATGTATTATGTTTCCGGAAAATACAATTCTAGCATGAATAATAAACATTTATCATGATTATAAGGAAATAAATAATAACTTTATTATTGCCTCTAGGGCATATTTCCTTCAATATGGTGACGGGAACACCACCTCATGTCTAAGAAGAAAATCTGTGATCGGTCTTAACTGGTTGGACCAGGCAGTGACACCAAACACACTTGAATAGTTACCTTGTTGAAGGTGTTGTCTTTATACTGTTGTTCTGACCATGATTAGTTGGACATGGCATTCAAGATGAAAATTCTCTACACATGTTGGATTTTCCCACGACAACATGAATGCATTCTTCCTTCTTGTTGGCTTTGTTACAAGCGGAGATTTCTACATATCCGACCAAATCGACAAAGAATATCCCAATCTGGTAAATCTGGCCAAATGGATTTACTAAGAGGATGCCCCGATTGACATAACCATAGTCTTTTGTTATGGTCATGTTATTACTGTTTATTACATTTTTTCCGCTTGATGAATCATTTGATCTTCTTGTTGCCTTCCATCTACTTTAGTGAAGAAAATAGATGTATGAATCCTCAGATGCAAATATTGGGAGATATTTTGGTCTTGTGAAGTCCTTGTTTGTTCTAAACTTGACTTGAATAACCTCCATAGTTTTCTCATAAAACATATGTTGGTTTCTTTCAAGTCAAATATTCTAAGGACCCTTTCAAATTCAAAGATTTTGCTATTTTAGGGTACATTGATCGTTATAAAAAAATGGTATTGACATAGGTCGACTGATCCGCACTCTATTTTCGTGTAAATTTCATCCACTCAACAGCTTTATTTTTTTATGTTGGCGGCATAAAACAATTACTCCATCCGCCCCAAAATAAGTGTCGCTGATTAGCACAAAGTTGTACCAAAACAACGACACTTATTTTGGGAAGGAGGAAGTATGATCTTAAAATATCGAAACTTTGTGATTGTATAGGATTGAAGAGAACATGCTACTCCAATTTTAAGTTTTTTTCTATTTCTGAATTTTAAGAATCGTACGAACTAAAGATCCAAGGCAAGACCTCTTTTTTTTCTATCATGTTACCCACATTTGCTGAATGATGATGCACCCAATACATCACTCATCAAGATGCAGCAATGTGTTATTTGCACCATGGGGGAATCTAGACGGTGGACAAGATGGGTCACAACCTGGGAGCTCCTATTCGGCGCTTCAGGCGCCAGAGAAGCTCCCTGGCGCCCACGTGATGCCAATGGTGGGCTGCCCATGTCCTTGATTGATTTTGCGAAAAAAATAGCAAAAAAGGGAAAAAACATGCATTAAAAAAGGATCATGGATTTTGAAAAAAAAGTGAATGAATTTTAAAAAAGTTCATGATTTTTAAAAAAATCATTGAATTTTGAAAAAAGTAAAAAAATTGGAAATAAAAAAACCATCGATTCAAAAAAGGAAAAAAAACTTGAATTCAATAGATCATGGATTTTTTAAAAAGTGAATGAATTTGAAAAAGATTGTCGAATTTGAAAAAGTTCATTTTTAAAAAATCATTGAATTTAGAAAAAAGTTCACCGACTTGTAAAAAGTTCACAATTTCAAAAAAATCATCCATTCGAAAAAATTTCATCAATTATGAAAAACAAAATCACCGATTTGAAGAGAGAAAACACAGATTTGACCAAGTTTCATCAAAAAAAATAAAAAATAAAGAAAAAATACAAGAAGAAATGAAAGAAAAGATATAAACACATCGTGTTATTCGGCTTTGTAGGTACTGTAGCACATGTTGAGTCGGGGGTCACGGGTTCGATTCACTCGGAGAGCATTTTTGCAGATTTAAAACACGCACAAAAAACTAGTTGGGTCGGCCCAACGCGTGGACGCTTCAGGCGCCTGTTTGTAGAATACACAGTAACAGGCGTCTGAAGCGCCAAATAGGAACCACCTCACGACCCACACTAAAGGACCATTTGGTCAAGCCTCAAGTCAGGGGAACTTTCGCCCTGCCCAGCCAAATCCCGGGGACGGGAAAACACGAGTCACGACTCGTGGGAGAAGTCCCACATCTCCTTTGCTATCTCTGTTCGCAAACCACGTCGTCATCTCGCTCGAACTTTCCTTGTCCCTTACGCCGCCCACCTCGACCGGTCGACCCCCTCCTCTCTCTCCTCGGTTCCAACCTCTCCTCGCTGGAACGTGCGCTGCAGAGAAATTGAAGTCCGCAGATGCGTTCACTCTCTACATTTTTGTTCATGAATTTAAGAACTCAAACGGTGAAGCTCACAGTGTAGCTAGGCATGTTTGGCGTGCCCCTTGTTAATTGATCAATAAAGTCTAGTTGCTCAAAAAGATAGTCCAATTACCGGTTAGAGTAGAAACAATTCTAGTACATACTAACATCTTGCCAAATGGAAGACACATCTTGGCAAATCGGGTGTCCCACGACTAGCTCATTCGTTGCTCCCATCCTGTAACAGAGATGGAACTTTTGCAAACATAAAATCCTCTAATATTTCTAGTACGTAGTAGAACACCCTTCTTCAAATTTCTTAATGTTTCTAGGTTTTCGTTTTTTTAGGTGAAGTGAAGCCGGGAGGGGAGGGCCAATCATGTGTCGGGCCCAGCCCAAAAGGCAATGCGACGCGATCTCCGATGCGGAAAAGATGCGACGCGGAGCCGGACCCGGACCCAGTCAGAACTGCGTACCACCAACGCGACCCTGCCGCAAACAAACACGAGGGCCGGTGGGCCCCGCGCCCATTCAAGCGCCACAAACGCCAAAGCCGGAGGAAAGAGAGCGCCAGAGAGCGGCTCGCTCTCCACCGGACGCCTCGAAGCCCGCGCACGCCGTCCACCGCTTTGTCTACTCGCCTCACGCTGCCCCACGGGCCCCGCGGCTTTCCGCCAGGTGGGACCCTGCCCCCTTCCAGTGCCTGACGCTGCGCTGTGGCCCCTCGCCGATTTTCGTGGAAGTGGAAGTGGAAATGGTTTCCATCGATTTCTTTTACGTGTGCTTAACTTTGGAAATATTAGTAATTGGTTGAGAGCGCGATAACTTTACTTGCACGAATTAGTTAGGCCTTTTTTCCGGAATAATTCTGGCCGCGTTTTTCCCTGTGGTAATATTCTGGTTGAGTTGGCAAGGAATATATGACAGGCCGATTACGATTAGATCAGCCAATGGAACGGAATAAAAATTGGAATTATACCTCCTTTTCTAGCGCCTTGTGGTAGGGAGGAATGAGAACTTTCCTAGTCAAAAAGGGGCACAGATTTCTCACCTAAAAAAGCAGGATATGTAGTATCCTATTCAAAAATAAAGTAAAGTTGCTAAATCTAAATGATGCATTGCATTTTATTTCTTGTTTATGAAATATATAAAATGCAACGAATTGGAATAATTTCATAGTTGGGCACCGCCTGGAAAGAGAGGGGGAAACTTCCTGCCGCCAAGAGAATCCAACTGACAAGAGAGAGGATATATAATCCAAGTGCCAACAGAATACATATCTGGATCAATCACATCGCATATCTTAATTTTGCCTCAGATCCACGCGAGATCTGACTCCCAATGCTGTTAGATCCATGCATCAACAAGGTAATTGTGTTCTCCAAATTTAGTAATATAAATAAATTACTAATCACGTAAATCAAGATCCAGCAACAAAATTACAGTGCAAAACAAGCAACACCAAACCGGTCAGGATTAAGCAAGCAGGTCAGTTCTGAAAAGCGAAGCGAATGTACGGGGGAACATGATAGCAGACCATGTTCCATCTCAACAAAGTGCAGAGCCTTTTTTCTTTACCGTTGCTAATTTACAGTTCAGATTTTGTGCCGAAGAAGTTCAGAAACTTTGTCGAGCATTTGGAACGTGATTAATTTAAGTTTTCAGATCGAATCGGCACGAAAATCGAGTAGATAACACTAGAAAAAGCACACGGGCTCCAACACATTGGAGTCAGGAGCACCAGACAAAGAAAGAACGCGACAAACAGGTACTGAATCCAACGAGCACAAATTACGGATAATTCATAGCGGAGTTCATCTCATTCAAACGGTAAGATAGCAGCAGACACAGGAAGATAACCAAGGCCGCCGGACGCAGATCCAGCGGCCCAAAGAGTCCACCTAAAACCCTCCTAAACCAACCACGGAGATCTCATCGGACGGACCAGGGGAAGACACGACACACGACTCTCTTATTTAGATCGACGACACGACACGGGACACACGGGGCGATGACGACGACGGCGACCGGCGGGCGGGCGGATCTAGAGCTGGCCGCAGTCGGCGATGACGACCTGCTTGGAGCAGGTGCCGCTGCGGGAGCCCACCTTCTCGATGTTCTTGACGACGTCCATGCCCTCGACGACCTCGCCGAAGACCACGTGCTTGCCGTCGAGCCAATTGCAGGGGACGGTGCAGATGAAGAACTGGGAGCCGTTGGTGTTGGGCCCGGCGTTGGCCATGGAGAGGATCCCGGGCTTGGTGTGCTTGTGGACGAACTTCTCGTCGGCGAACTTCTCGCCGTAGATGGACTCGCCTCCGGTGCCGTTGCCCCTGGTGAAGTCGCCGCCCTGGCACATGAAGTCGGGGATCACGCGGTGGAAGGCGCTGCCCTTGTAGTGCAGCGGCTTGCCGCTCTTGCCGACGCCCTTCTCGCCGGTGCAGAGCGCGCGGAAGTTCTCCACCGTCCGCGGCACCGCGTCCTTGTACAGCTCCATCACGATGCGCCCCGCCGGCGCGCCGCCGACGGTCATGTCGAAGAACACCCTCGGGTTGGCCATCTCGCTCGCCGGGATCGGGGATGAGGGCTAGGGTTTTGAGATGGGGATTTCTGTGCGGATTGGATTACCTTTGGCTTCGGGCTCTGTGATCTGGCAAGCGGAGACCGGGTGCGATTAAATAGGCGGCGAGGCCCGGGGCGGGGGTAGCCCCAGCCGTCCGATCGGGACGCGTGGCGGCATCGGGGGGCGCCGGGGCTAACCGGGGAGGTTGGGCGGTGCGGTTCCGGGAACCGTGGTTAGGTCTAGGGTTGGGTTCCCGGTGGACGCGAGCAGCACGTGACCCATTCCGACGCGAGGCTGTATGACATGTGGGGCCCGCGGATGCCTGTCGCGGAGGGCGGCCTGCAGGGGTCCGTTGGTGTGGGGACCGGAAATGTGGGCCCGGGGTGTCATAAGGGGTGGGTGGACGCGGCGTCCGTGCGGATTTTTATTGGATCTTTGTGGGGGTGACTAGGGTTGGGGCCATGGTTACCCGGGGTGGTTGGGTCGGGACTAGGGTTGGGTTGGGATACTCGCGCTTTTGGACTGCGCGCGGTCCACCAGGACCGGGTGGTGCGGCGCGCGTGAGGTCTCTGGGGAGAGTGTATGGACCGGGTGCAGGGGAGGCTGTGGTGGGGACGAGCGGCGGAGAGAGGCCGTGGTGGGGAAGGGATATGCCGCCGCGCGAGTGGGCGATATTCTGTTCTGGCTTGGATCGCACGCGGACTGCATGTGCAACTGGCCCGGGACGATTCCTTCCTGCCGGCCCAGTCCGCTCGGGTTCTGCGGCGGAGCGCCAACGGGCGGCTCATCGGGACCGTCGAGCGTGGGTTTGGACGGCCGAGATGCGCGTGGCGAGGGCTCTAGAAGCTTCCTTCTCAATCTAGGGCCTGATTGAACTGAGATGCCTATTTCTCTCTTCTTTTTCTGGGAGGTAAAAATAAAAACTATCTGGACAGAAATATAGAATTTCCGTTTTTAGGTACATACTTTATTTTTTTGAATCCTTGAGATCATGGCTGGATTGTTGGAATCTGCTATGATCATGGACTACATAAATACTAAATTTGAACTATGACGTAACAACGAAAAAACATATATACTCCAAGACATCCAAGGCATCTTAGTCTCTTTCTCACCAAATCATTTTACCTACCCCTCCATTGCAAAATATTTGAAATACTATATTCATTCTAAGTTTAACTTCTCTGCTTTGACAAAGTCTATAGAAAAATATGGTAATATCTACAATATCAAATGTAGTGTACGAAAATATATATTACAATGAATGTAATGAAACTAATTTGGCGTTGTAGAGGTTGACATATTTTTCTACGCCCCCTCTCATGAACAGTAACCACAAGAAGCAAAATGGAAGGATCCGCCAAAGGCCGGATCAGCGGTCCCTCCCTCTTCGGTCATAGTTGCAGCGGTGGGGGAGTGGAGGGAGCTTCGATCCGTGTGGAAGATGTCTAGATACTAGGGTTAGGCTACTCGGCGGCACTAACAAGGTGGTGGTGGTGGCAGCGTCAATAATGGTGTAGGAGCTTGTTCCCCGTCTCAACAACAAGGTCACATGTGGGTGGATTCGCTGGCCTAAATCCGTCCCAACTCGCAAAGCTGAGAAACCAGCCAACCGCCGCCTCAAAAAATCTAGAGTTTTTTTGCCTCCCTCCGGCGCCGGCGCCGATCCATCCCGTCTCCGGTGGCCTGAGGGCCATGGAGGCGGAGTGGATCTCGGCCTTTGCCGGTGGGAGGACTCCGTTTTTAGATATTTTTTCGAGTTCTGTTAGGGTTTGTGTCCTGCTCAGGAAGGCGAGACGGCGGCGGCTCCCTGAAGATGGAATAAAGGTCTCCCCGCCTAGCTCCCGTTCCGGTGATGCGTCTAGCATCATCGGTGGGCGTGTGGAGGTGTGTCTTCGGCGGATATGTCTTTGGTGGATTTGCTCGGGATCTGTTCGTTGTTCGTCTTCGTTTGTGTGTCTTCAGGTTGGATCCTTTTGATCTACACTCTTCATCCGCGGCGGTTGTTGTTTTGGCGCGTTGGTTCTATGGGGCCTTAGCACGATGACTTCCTGACTGTCTACTACAATAAGGTTTGCCCGGCTCCGGCGAGGGAGGGGCGATGACAGTGGCGCACCTTCGGCTCGCTTCAGTGCTTGTAGTTGTCGCTAGGTCGTCTACGGATCTGGATGTAATTTTTATTATTTCTAGTGTTCGTTGTACTACCATGATTGAAGATGAATAGATTGAAAGTTTTCTCGAAAAAAAAACAAGGTCACATGTGGCGTCATCGACGAGCTTCTGACGTTGTTTGCTCCCTGATCTGTCGATTCGGTGGCCGATGTGTTCTATAGGCGTGGTCTTCGCAACGGAGGGACGCCGTACGGGGAGAGATTTTGTCCCTCGCCCCTGTCTTCGCCATGGCAAGTTTGATCCTTATCTTGTTGTGGGGTGTTGGGGGGTGGTGCTGGTGACTGTCGCCGGTGTTTTTCGCCACCCTTCATGGACTTCAGAGTTGTGATGTCGCTGACGTGGTGAAGTGATGGTTATCTCTCCTCTTCCTTTAATGTGGTGGCTCTCTTGGGCCGGCGATGAAAACTTCTCATCCGTGTTCTATCGAGCTGTGGATTCCAAGGTCACACGGTCTCCAGGTGAGAGCGGTGACAATGATAACGGTAGCGCGTGGGCAACCCATGGTGGATTTATCTCGTCGAAAGCTTGGATCATACGAGACCCCAGTCACCCCACCCCATTTAGGGAGCAGAAGTTGGATCGGTAGCCCTATCGTCGCCTCCACCATGGATGGTAGTACGAAGACCGCACGGTTGACCACCATTTCTTATGCGTGAGCAGCAACAGACAACCCATCAACGACATAGCGCGAGTCGCCTTGCGGGGCAGATCCAGGTGAAAGTCTCCTACCTAAGCTACTATACACAATAGAGACCCAAACTCCTCTCCCTCCACCACTCTGGGCGATGAGGTCGCTGGAGGAAGAGGGGAGGGGTTTCGGAGGAACCAAGACGACTCTCAATGGTGGGATGGGTAGATGAGAGAGAAACGAGAGAGGATAAATGAGCCCCTGACATGGGAACATCACTGCATCCATTGTGTGGCAGCATTTATGCTTATGCGGAGCTCTTACAATTGAAGGAAGAAATTGTGATAAGTTCAATCATCCATCACATCATAGATCATTCCCCACATACACGGCTTCGGCCGAAATGCCATTTCGGTCATGCTCGTCCAGACGTCTTTATTCTGTCCAAGCGACATGATCTTGACATATACCATTGCAACTACGATTTGAAAGGCATTGCATTCGATTCTCTTTTACGGCTCCTTTATTCTCCATGGTTGTTTTTGGAATCTCAATATGCTTTGGAAATTGTTCTTTCGGTGTTGATTCTGTCCACATGCATCACAAAAACGGATGTTCATTGCCGAGAGAATGCCAAAGGTGTGGCACATGTGGTACATTGTTCTCATCTTTCTTGTTTTGTGGTCCGGCATGCAAGCTGTGCATGTACAAACATGTGATTGCAATTGACATCTTCATCAAATTGTAGTTTTGCACTCGAAAAAGGCCACCATAACAGAAAGAATTGCACGAGGATGACTGGCACCTATGCCACCGACCATAGAGGTCCATGGGCTTGTTAGTCGTTGCCACTTTAATGTTGGCAAAACTTGATTGTCGTTAGCCATTACTAACACCGTGAAGCTCGTAACCAAATAAAATCTATAGAAAAAACATAATCTTTATCTTTTTAAAAAACACCTGTAATTTTATGCATACTCAACAATTACAGGTACACTGATTTAGATTTAAGATAAAAAAAATACAAAGTAACTCCTATAACTAAGATACATGAAATCTCTTGGAAACACTTTCTTCACGGTATTAATCTCTGTCAGAAGAAATTCTTCAAAGACTTTGGTAAATATGCTGCAATTGGACCGAAGCAACAATATTGTCCCTCTTTCACCCGCACAAACATTATCAATAATGGTTTTTGAAAGCGCTTTGAGTCACCCATCCAAGAAGATGGAAAGCCTTGATTGATGAACGTACTTGGGCCGGAGATAATCCCATAGAAGTGCAGCTCGTTGAATCATGATATCTTCATCATGGTGTCGATGAAAGATTTTCACCTCCACAAAAATGTTTGTGCTTTCAATTTTTTGGGGAAATTCAAAATTGGCTCATGCTTTTAAAAACTTATTCAGCATTTTAAAAATTCATTTTCAATTTTTTTTATAAATTCAAAAAATGTACAGGATTTTCAAAAAAATGTTTTTTGCTTTCTAGAAATTGTTCTGAATGTTAGAATTCCTGTTGTTTACAATTTTTTTTCTCAAAACTCTAATAATGTTTGGAACTTTCAAAAAAGTTCAGGTTTTTCAAAAATTGTTTGCGGTTTCCCAAAATGTTTGATTTATTTAGAAAATACTAGTGTTTTCATATTTTTTTGTAAATTCCAAAAATATACGAGAATTTCAGAAAAATGCTATTTTTTCTGTAAACTGTTCAGAATGTTAAAAATATTCCTCTTTTCAATTTTTTCTCAAAAGTCAAAAAATGTTTGGGAATTATTTAAAATGTTCGTGCTTTTGAAAAATTGTTCATAATTTCCAAAATGTTCCCATTAACAAGTTTTGTTCTCTAAGTTCCAAAATATCTGCATTTTTTCATAAAATATTTAGGATTTTGAAAATGGTTCCTGTCAAAAAAGGCAAGGTTTTAAGAAAAAAATATTTTTCAAAGTTTGCTAGAGTTGGTGAAATAATTGCTGGATTTTCAAACATTACTTGCTTTTAAAAAAATATTCATAATTTCCAAGTTAAGATGTAAAATCCAAAAGCTGCCTGGATTATGTGTTGTAGTTAGTTCTTAAGGTGGTACGCTCCTCTTTAGCCATGAATCTCTTATAGGTTGACTGGTTAGTAGTTACACTTTCTAAGGTGGAGGTGCCGTAGAAAATGCATATATCCATCCATCACCAAGATATCGAAAGGAGTGGTCATGCATATGTTTTCCTGACCAAGATATCAAAGGGGTTTTCTTTTCCAGGTCGAGTTTGTTCACCTGCTTTGAATAATATACGGATGTATGCGGTTATCCTCCTTTTCAAAAGAAATAATGTTTCCCTTTTATATATAACCAGGAGCGGAGGCAGGATTGGACTAAGCCTTGAGAGCGGGTTTCATATAGGGTGTATAACTGTATATACACACATAGACCAAAAGTTCCCCTCCCACATCAGGCCGATTGCGAAGAGAGAGAGAGGGGAGAGACATGGAACAGTCAACAGTGAAATGAGGAACCTAATGGATGCCCGATGGGGGCTGAAGGAGAGGAGGAAGCGGGAGGAGGAAACCTACAATGGCCAAGACGATCAAAGACCAGGCACCCCTGCCGGCCGGTGTAGACGAGCGATCCTTTGCCATGGCATTGTCTGCGAAGCATATTTCCATAGCGCAAGGTGCTGAACGGGAAATGAGCATCAAGTGGGAAATAAACTATGTCTCCGAGGTTCAGCATTGACCAGCCCTTCTTCGTTGTCGCCGCCTGATTTGCAATCAGCACTTTCATGTCTCCCGTTCCCCATGTTCCACCATCGCCATGGCTGTGGCTGGCCCTTTCTCCTCCTCCTCCTCCTCCTCCTCCTGGGTTTCCCCTTTGATGAATCTTCTCTCTTGCGCGGAGAAGCAGCGGCCGCCGGTAGCCATAGGGTCGTCCTCTACCCGGAGTCCGCGACGGTCTCGTCCATCGTGAGCAGCAAGTACAGGACCGCCTTCCATTTCCAGCCCCCCAAGAACTGGATCAACGGTACATATGCGCTCATCTCTACACCTTCTTTTGTGTTTCTCCCATATGTAAGTGCAGGTCCTATCTTCCCCATTTCTGCTGCGGTTTCCCTTTGATTTGCTGCCTGAAATGTGTCGCCGGACATTTTGACTGCTAGTCTGAACCTTCACTTGATTGCATTGTAAATTAATGTTATCGCCAATGCGCTAGTGGTACCTGATGATGCCTCGCTTGTCTTTATGGTCTGGAGAAGCTTACTTGTCAGATAATTTAGCTTCTTCACCTGCCTTCAGTTTTCCCCTTTGGCCTCTGCAATGTCAGAAACATATTTGTATAAGCATTTAGGTCCTGGATTCTATATCTAACATTTCTTCATCATTGTTTCGCACGACATGGAAATCCTCGCCACGACGACCATACAGATCCAAATGGTATGTAACTATGTATGCATTTGGGTTGATTACTTGAATAAAATCAACCACAACTAGAGTAGTAGATAAATGTAATGGATGGCTGCAATCATCAGGACCTCTGTACTACAAGGGCTTGTACCATCTCTTCTACCAGTACAACCCCGGCAGCGTTGTCCCAGGCAACAAGACCTGGGCTCACTCTGTCTCCACCGACCTCGTCAACTGGCTCCGGCTCGAGACGGCATTGGACCGGACCGAGCCCTACGATGCCAAGGGCTGCTGGTCCGGCTCAGTCACTGTCCTCGCCGATGGCCGGCCAGCCATCCTCTACACCGGCGCAGACGACGTGAAGAACCAAGCCCAATGCATCGCCTTCCCCAGTAACAGCTCCGACCCGTATCTCAGGGAATGGACCAAGCCCAGCAGCAACCCGGTGATCCGTCCGGACGGGCCGGGCCTGAACCCAAGACAGTTCAGGGACCCGACGACCGGGTGGACCGGGCCGGACGGGCAGTGGAGGATAGCAGTTGGGGCCGAGCTGGACGGCTACAGTGCGGCACTCTTGTACAAGAGTGAGGACTTTGTGAGTTGGAGCAGGGTTGATCACCCGCTCTACTCCTCCAACTCATCCACCATGTGGGAGTGCCCCGACTTCTTCGCGGCGCTGCCTGGCAACACCAGCGGACTGGACCTCTCCGCGGCGATCCCGAATGGCGCCAAGCATGTCCTCAAGATGAGCCTAGATTCCTGTGACAAGTACATGGTTGGGGTATATGATCTGGAAGCCGATAAGTTTGTGCCGGATAATTTCGTGGACGATAGGCGTCTGTGGCTGAGGATCGACTACGGCAATTACTTCGCGTCAAAGTCATTCTTCGACGCCAAAAAGGGGAGGAGGATCATATGGGGCTGGGCTAACGAGTCGGATAGTTCGTCGGATGATGCCGCAAAAGGCTGGGCTGGGATCCAGGTAAGTAAGGAAAACTGCCCCTGGTTCACTGTCACTGTCAAGTTTCAGGAACTAATGATTTTGAGTGGTTTAGCAGATATATACCACTGTGACATGTGTATCCTCATTTGTTAGGCGATCCCCAGGACAATATGGTTAGATAGCGATGGCAATCAGTTGCTGCAATGGCCCGTTGAAGAGATCGAGTCCCTTCGAAGAAACGAAATTAGTCATCAAGGAATAGAGCTGAAAAAGGGTGACATGTTTGAAATTGAGGGGACTGATACTTTGCAGGCTAGTTCCTTCTTTTTTTTCACACAGATTCCTACTGCTTGATATTTTTACTTTAAAAGTGGCATGTCAGATAAAAATCAGTTTGGTCTTATGGTGATTAACCAGACATGATTTTCTTGGAGTAGGCGGATGTGGAGATAGAGTTTGAGCCAGGAACCATGGATGAAGCTGATGCTTTTGATCCTTCCTGGCTCTTGGACACGGAGAAGCATTGCAGGGAAGCAGATGCATCAGCTCCTGGTGGCCTGGGGCCATTTGGGCTTGTGGTTCTAGCCTCCGATGACATGGAGGAGCACACTGCCGTGCATTTCAGAGTCTACAAATCAAAGCACAAGCACGTGATTCTTATGTGCTCTGACCTAAGAAGGTTAATTTAATTCCTATGGATTTACTTTTTTGTCTTTCTTGTATGTTCTCTACAATACTCACAGAAATTGATACTATATCAGAAAATTTTCACTCTCTGTTCTACATTGCATCAATATAAGCAAGAGAGTTCAGTTTCGAAATTAAAAAAAATATAAGCAAGAGAGTTACCTTTTTTCCTTGTATACAGGTCGTCCCTGAGATCAGGGCTGTACACGCCGGCCTATGGAGGCTTCTTCGAATTTGACATTGAAAAGGAAAGGAAGATATCTTTGAGAACATTGGTTAGGCCTTGGGACTTCTTTCTCCCCATGCACTCATATCACTAGTGTGATAATTGGACAGAGATGCTCTAACAGCCATGGGTCTCCCGTGCAGATCGATCGTTCTGCAGTGGAGAGCTTTGGTGGTGGCGGCAGGGTCTGCATCATGGCTAGGGTCTACCCGGTTGCGCTGGTCGACGACAGAGGCGCTCGTATGTATGCTTTTAACAATGGCACGACCACGGTCATGGTGTCACAGCTCAAGGCATGGAGCATGAGAAGGGCACATATGAATGTGAAGAAGGGATGAAGTACTTGCCCAACAGAGCAAAGGCTAATAGGCAGTGGTGCGAAAATGTTACTTGATTAATGTGCATTGCATGAAGCAGAGTGGAATGTGGACTACTTGCTACTACCTCCATAAATGTATTTAGGAATGGAGGTAGTAGTTACTAGTCATATTGTTATGGTGCAAAAATATGGTTGCGTGCATTGCATGAAGCAGAGGCTGGGAGGATGATCTTTTCATTGTCTAAAAAAATCATGTGAAGAAACAATTGTACTTGTTCTGTTGTCAAATCTGCAAAGGCGTTCTTACGATCTAGCACTGGTGCTAGGCATTTATATGCTGTTTGAGTTGACCTATTGCTCATATTGTATGCGACAAACACGGTTGATCCACTCCAAGTACATGTATCTTGGAATATTATGTTTGGAGAAAATGAGAAAAATACTCACTTCTTTTACTCTGCATCACTCTGCTTGTAGGATGATCAGGGGATGATAAACTCCAGTTGTACATCCCATATACTGTTCTCTAATAATTCCTGAGCTTGCACCTTCTTCTATTCATACTTCCCTGTTGCTATATACTGGAGATGGAGGTAAGTGAGAATGCAAGAAATTGACCTGGTGCTCATGAAGAAAAATATTAAACTAACGAGTTGTAATTCGATCATTTCTTCCTTTTCCTGAGAACTAAACAAACAGAGAAGTTCGATGTGAATTTCACTCTTGGTCTCCATACAAAGAGCTACTTCATTAAAAAAAATATTCTACTGGAGTGCACAATAGGAAGATGTGTTTCTGAAGAGTGAATTGCTAGAAACCACCACATTTGGGGCTTATCTTGCAGAAAACAACATGGTCGCTAATCATTTGCAAAAGCCACCGCAGATTCAGTAACAGTTTTGCAGATTGCACTGAACATGTCATTTGGCTCGGTTGAGGGCGTTTCCGACAGGTGGGGCCCAAAATCGCTGGCGTGTCCTAACGGACGCGCGGACGGCGCCGTTTGCTTAAGACAGACGCGGTCGGGTCGCCAGAGACAGACCGCCCGCGCCCGACCACATCTGTCTCGATTTCTCTGCTCTCACGCTCGCTCTCTCTGCTCCCACGCTCGCTCGCTCCCCTCCCATTTGCTCCTCTCCTCTCCGGTCGCCGCCGGCCGCCGTCCGCCATGGTGTCCTGGACCGACAGTGAGAGCACTGACGGCTCCGCCGCGTAGTACATCTCCTCCGACGACTCCCCTCTCAAAGTCAGAACATTGTATTCCTCATTTGTGTTCTAGGGTTGAACATTTGCTCGATTTGGACACGTTTTTGTTGGATTTCTCAGATCCCAGCTACAATTGATGAGCCATCGTTCGAGGGTCTTGCTGACGACTTGAATGTGATTTGTGAGCATGGGAATCCAGGGAGGAAGTATGTTGCATTTGAGGGGATAAGCACCGGTAGGAGGTTCATTGCTTGTGCCACTGAAGTAAGTTTTAAGTTGTGTTTGCAGCATTCCAATTCTTGTTCTAGGGTTTGTAGTAACAGTTCCTGTTCTAGGGTTCATAGTTACTGTTCATGTTCTAGGGTTCATAGTTACTGCTCATGTTCTAGGGTTTATAGTTACTGAATTTAGTTCTAGGGTTCATAGGTAGTGTTCTTAGCTGTAGTTTTCATAATTATTCATCATTAAATGAATGTGATTCTGGTACATTAACTGAATCAGCTATTTAACTGAATCTGTAAGTAATGTCTGTAATTTTTGAACTGATTTTTTTATTGTAGGGTGTTGCAAATTGTGGATTAGTGCAGTGGGTAGATGAGCATTGGCCAGAGCATCTGCAGAATGCTATTCATAAGCTCTGGCTTATGTATGAGCATAGCCAGCATGAAAACAGGACGGCATGCCTGGAGTATTCAAGCACTGTACACAATCTCACACAGCAGAAAAAAGAGTTGCAGGAGACATATGAGAAGCTTGTTGAAGATGTGAACAACCTCTTGGATTATAAGGATAGCCAGCCTGAGGTAAACCAGAAGAATGATGCTGACAACATTTCAGTTAGTGTGGAAAGCAGCATGACAAAGGATGCTGAGATCAAAAAATTAAAGGCTGTTGTTGACCAGTTAAAGCAAATTCATGTAGCTCAAGCCACTGTCATTAGGAATTTGAAGTTCAACCATCTTAAGGAGAAGGAAAAGTTGAGCTCTGATAAGAAGACTTTGGAGATTTGTTATGCTGACCTGAAGAAAGAGAAGGATGACCTGAAGAAAGAGAAGGATAAGCTGGATTGTTGCATTGCTGAGCTGATGAAAGTGAAGGAGAAGTTGACCATGGAGAAGAGTACTCTTGCTTCCTGCATTGTTGAGCTCAAGACAGCAAGTGATAGCAACAAGAGGAAGCTTCACCAGATTAAGGCTATTTGTGATGAGGACTAATTTATGTTGCTGTCTGACCATGTGTGTCAATGATGTCTTTTGTAGTAGCTATGAAGGAAAGCTGTAATCTATTAAGCTTTATTATGGTGAACTCTATTATTTCTGTAGCAATGAACCTTGGATTGTATGTTGTTTGTGAGAGTACTATGTTTGTGATGAATTATCAGCTTGTATTAAGTTCAGTTTGTGATGAATTAACAGCTTGGATTATAGCAAGTAGATAGTGAACATAGATAGCAAGTTCATAGTGCATAGATAGTCTGACATAGATAGTGGCATACTAACATAGATAATAGCTGCATAGATAGTCTGATATAGATAGTGGCATACTAACATAGATAGTCTTACATAGATAGTAGCATACTAACATAGATAGTAGCTGCATAGATACAACTGACATAGATAGAACTGGCAAACTAACATACTGACGAAACTGAAATTTTACTTCTTCTGACGAAACTGAACTTTTTCTTCTTCTGACGAAACTGAAGACAGCATGTCACTCCTCCTTCTTCAGCATTTTCAGGCGTAGGGAGCGCCGCACGTCATTGTTGTTCACCGCCGCCCTCTTCTTCTTGGCTGGCGCTGGCTCCACCACATCTTCACCGCCGCCCTCCTCTTCTTGCTTCACGACGACGAGCTCTGGGTTGTCGGCATCCTCCGGCAGCTTATCCACATCAATTGGGATGTTCTTCTGCCCCTCGACGGCGTGGAGGACGGGCGCTAGGAGCTGCACATCAGGCTCGTCGGAGGAGGAGTCGGAGGAGAGTACGACGACCTCGTCCACCTCGTCGTCAGAGGAGTAGCCGTCAGATTCGTCAGAGTCGTAGTCATCAGAGGACTCGGACTTGGCGTCGGAGTCGTCGTCTGGCCCGAGCACCCATGGATTGCGCCTCTCCTAGTAGGCGTTGTTGATGGGGGCTGGGAGAGCGAGGACGGCGTCGGTGATGTCATCCGCGGCGGTCGGCGGCGTGGTGGATGAGCGGTACATCCACCAACGGGCGCGCTGCCCGGGGTCGGGGGAGCGATGCACCTCGCGCATCGCCCACAGGAGAATGGTCGCCGGCGGGACGGTGCAGCCGGCAGGGAATGCACGCTGCCTTTCAGCAGGTGTCATCACCTTCACCAGGCCGCGGGCATGGTTCCTCAGCATCGCCGCACTGGGGAACCAACGCGCGATCTCCCTGTACTGCGCGCACAGCTCGCGGTTGTTGCCGGCGAGCTCTTCGATGGCCAGCTGCCAGTCCATGGCGACGGGGGTGGGGGTGGCTGTCAGCGGTGGTTTCGACGGGAGAGAGGGGGAAGAGGAGTGGGCGGTGCGGGCGGCGAGTGGGCGAGTGATCGAAGAGAGCGGTAGGTGGACACGTATTAAAGGCAGAAACCGAAACGACTAGTTATACTAAATAGACGTTCACCATGCTGGCGGCCTCAACACACTCTCAACACAGTGCGTGCCTAACTAAATATAAGTAAAATTGCGGATGCTACTAAAACAACATCACTAGCACTATCCTATTGGTATTGAACCCCTGGTTACTACCCACTGGTCCTCGGTTCGATCCCCAGCAGGCCAAACTATTTTTGTGCAATTTTTTTGGATTTACAAAATTAATATGTCAGTAACTTCTTACGGTTTTTATTTTTGTTCAATTTTTTGGATTTAAAAAATTAATATGTCAGTAACTTCTTAGGGTTTTTTCGACTCCGAGGCACCCTAAATGCCCAAGTGGAGACATTATAGGTTTTGTCGACGCCGAGGAACCCTAAATGCCCAAGTGGAGACATTTTGGGTTTTGTCCATGCCAAGGCACCCTAAATGCTCAAGTGGAGACATTTTGGGTTTTGTCGATGCCGAGGCACCCTAAATGCCCAAGTGGAGACATTTTAGGTTTTTTCGACTCCGAGGCACCTTAAATGCCCAAGTGGAGACATTTTAGGTTTTGTCGACACCGAGGCACCATAAATGCCCAAGTGGAGACATTTTGGGTTTTGTCGACGCCGACGCCGAGGCACCCAACTTGTTGCAACACATCATAACACATCATATCAACAACATGAAAACTAAGATCATCATCATATCAATAATGAAACTATGCTCATCATCACAACAACAGAATGAAAACTTGTTGCAAAACATCATAACTAATAAGTTCATCATCACATCATCATAACCAGAGTATCATAGTGCATCACAACCATTAGGTACATTACATAGTCCACCACTTGGACTTGAACTAACTGGTTTCAACATGAAATTCTTAATATTCTTCATCACAAACTAGCCAAAAAAGGCTGAATTAAACATGTTTCAACATTACATCACTTCTTGCTGCCTTGAGAACAATTGAACCATTCAGACATCTTGTATGATGGCTTTCTCACTCTTCCAGTACCTGACAGTCTTGGTGGTATGAATGTTTTCTTTCCCCTTGACCTAGCAGCAGTAGCAGAAGATGAACTAGGCCTATCAGCAGTAGCAGAAGATGAACTTGGCCTTGTTGGAGTAGGAGCAGAAGGAGCTGCCCTAGGTACAGCCCTAGTTGCAGTCCTAGCTGCAGCTGGAGCTCTAGCCCTTGCTGCTGGTGGAGCTGTCTGTAAC